ACACACACACACACACACACACACACACACACACACACACACACACACACACACACACATACACACAGATGCGCACGCAAATATTTGCACATTTGTCATAAAAAATAGAGCAGAACTCTGCAGATTTTCTTCAGATATTTGCAGGCAATAAACAGCGGAGGACACTTGTCTTTGTTTGTCATTCTGCATTCTTATGTTTATTACCAACAAGTTCACTTTCAGCTTTTATTTTCTACCGTACGCTGTGAAATGTAAGGAAAAAAAAGACTTAACAGGCCTTCTGTCGGTGCCATTTCTCACACCTCACAACAGCCAGAATATGCAAGAAGAAAACGAGCCTCCTCAGAACCGTGCACAGATATACAGAATTGTATATTTGTGCTAAAAGGAAAAAAAAAAAAAGCGAGGAGACGTACCTCTGGACTGTTCGATTTTCACTCCCACACAGTTCTCATCTTCGGCGCTTTTCGTCTGGCAACATGGAGTTTTGCTTCTCCTCTCTGCAACGACAAAAATTAAGATATAAAGAAGCTGAAATAATTAAGAGAATAAAGAAACGAGTTAATCAGAGAATAAAATAATTGCTCGGCGAGACAGGAGCTTTAGTTTCAGGCAATCTCATGTTTTATTTAGGAGAGATACTAACTCAGGGGGTAAAAATGAGGATGATGGGATAAGAGGCAGGAGTATCGACCTTATTATCCCACAGGAAATGGTCATTAACTTGGCTGGGGATGTTGGAAAAGTGTTGCAAGACAAGCTGTAGGACTATCGGAGCGCTGCATTTAGAAATATCTGGAGTAGACGTTGGTTTGTTTGGAACATGAAAATGCACCCCCATGAGACAGAAAGCCTAATTAGGCAGGCTGTGATATGTGGAGCATTGTCTGTCGGGAGTGCCAACATGCTTTCAACCCAGCCGTTTAATATGCACGTGCAAGATTAAAGAGAAAATAGTAACTGTAAAAAAAAACCAAACAAACAATGAATAGGCTCATCAATTTTACACAACCCCGCAAACTCACACAAATATATCTCAGATCCTAACACCCAGATTAAAGCACACATGTGGAGCATTGAAGTAATGAGAGAAGTGCAGTTCCTGTGATATCTCAGATACAAACTGAAATGTGGTAGTTTCCTGTAACCAGAGCAAACTTTGGCCCATGTTCCCCAAATCTAAAGCTAATCTTACAAAAAAAAAAATCCAACAGTTAGTTTATTGATACCATTCTGTCCATTTTTATGTTTTTAAGTGAACAAAAAGTTAAGTTTGTGTGTTTTTTTAATGGGTTGACATGCTAGTTTTTGCTTGATGCTCTTCTTGCTAAAAACAAGACTGAGAGCAGCATCTAAAAACTATTTCAAAGCCACACATTATGTGAACAAATTACCCCTTTATTGTGTGATTGTTAAACTGATAGCAACAACAACCAAAAATAGGATGTGTGCCGGTTTGGTTTCATTGCAAAGCCACTGCTGTGTTCATACATTTTATCTACGGCACAGCTTTCAATTCATGGGGTTTAAATAGGGATAAATAATGCACTTGTTAGTTCAAAGTAAGTATATTATTTATTGAAATTAGAAGTACTTGCAGTCACAACGATAATGTGTTTGATTTGTAGAGTGAGGATATGAAGCTACAGGCAGCATTAACTCAAAAACAAGCTTCCTTTATGTTTAAACTATTTTGCTATTGATGGTGTTTTTAGCACCACCTTCTGACAACGTGGGCTCGGTCAGCAGGGCCACCTGCAGAACCACCTGGCAGCAGAGTTGTGAAGTAACTAAGTACAAATACTTCTTTACTGTACTTAAGTTGAATTTTTGGGTATCTGTACTTTACTTGAGTAATTATTTTTCAGCCTACTTTTTACTTCTACTTCTTACATTTTCACACAATTATCTGCACTTTCTACTCCTTACATTTTAAAAAGGCAAGAAGTAGAAAGTCGTTACTTTTATTTAATTTTTGCTCGTTTTCATTCCAGCTTGTTGTAAAAAAATAAATACTATCCATATAAATTGTGCCTCCTTAGAGTGAATTTAATTGTGGTTGAATAAGAAGTATAAATATATAAAATTCTGATAGCATATTAGTTTTACACAAACAAATCATGTCACACTCCAGCAGGACACAATCATTAAAATAAAAGGACTGTACTCGTGAATTATATTATTGTATTTGGCCACAGCCCTCAGATAGATTTTCATTTTGGGGAAAAGCTTTGTGCAGCCTTGAGATAAACTGAAACAGCTGGACTAGTGCATCCTAAATTTAACATAAATTCATTATTTTAATACAACATAATCATTTCTGCAGTTTTTGGGGGGAGGTCACCTCCTAATAAATGTCATTACAGAAACTCTAACTGCTCATTTTAAATCAATACTTTTACTTTTAATACTTGAGTACAAAAAATATCAGATACTTTAAGACTTTTACTCAAGTAATATTCCTAAAGGAGACTTTAACTTTGACCAAAGTAATTTTCTGATAAGATACTTACTTTTACTCAAGTATCACTTTGTGGTACTTTATACAACACTGCCTGGCAGCCTTTAAGGATCAGTAAGATTGGCAAAATTACCATCACACAGGCTGTGCAATAGCAGGTAATGAAACACAGGTTAAAGCCTAAATGACTGATTTTAAATTATTACTTTTAAAAATCCAACATTGTTTTTAAAGGGATTTACAAAATGGCATTTTAAAACTTGTCTTCACCTCGATCTGAAGCATCTTTATTACCAAACAGGAATTATTTAAACTTTTATTAATTTATTTTCATCCCTGGCAGTATAATTTAGTTCTTTTAATTTACAAATAATTAAATTAAATTTTAAATTTAAAGAAAGATGTGGACAGACACTAACTTAGGACATTAATTCCTAGATTTATGCACCACTTATCACCTGAAACAAGAATTTAGCACAGGTTTAACATATTAGTGATGATGACACTTAAAGGAAAAGTGGATCCTCTCAGCGGGGAGCACTGYACAACCTTACAACAATGTACAGGRCACATTGYGTGTGCGTGTATGTGTGTGTAAGTAGGGGGAATAATATTCAGTTTCAGAGATTAAAGAARGGCTCTCTCAGCTCACCATCTGGACTCCTCGTGCCAGGCCTGCCTGCTGTTCACACACAAACTCAAACCCCGTCTCTACAGCACACGAGTCAAAGCCAAATCTACAATAATTTTTTTAAAACACAAAACGTRTAAGCAGATTAGAGCTTTATTATATGAACATACCAGACGCTTCTCTCCAGACACAATCTGCCATCGCCCCTCCTCCGACTGGCTCTCAACTGTTTGATGTCACACTATTGTTTTCTTAAGTGGGGGATGTGTTACTATATCGGAACCAAAAAAAMCCACACACCCACCAGAAAATACCACCCACTACAAAACCCCAGGTGACTGCATTTACGAGAGAGAAAAAAAGCAAGAAAAAATACCTGATGCTGCATGATAGGAGAGAGATTGCAGATTAAATAAACTTGAACACAAAACTTCCTCTTCCTGCTCAATAACTTCCTGGTTTTTGAAATTTTCTGATGTCTCAACTTTGTTTTTGCAGAGAAAAAGACCCAAGAGAGAAACACACGTTCACACAAAGAGCGTGGTCAGTGGTTGTTGTGCAGTAAAACTTCTGGACGTGAGGAGGAAGGTCACAACGGGTCTGAAACTTCCCACGTGTTCGTTAAAGATGTAGTGAAACRGATTATTGATCGCTCAGACTTTCCAGAATTCTTGTGATTCACAGTTAGAGGGAAATGGGTTGTTTACGGTATTTATTCAGAACACTGATCGAGGACGTTGGTTTCAGATCTGCTGACTCTACTGACAATTAGGTTAAAAACTGTGTGCAGACATGGGCTGTCTTTGACCCTCCATCTGCTCAGAAAGCAGGAAAAAGTAAGTAAACAGAGATATTTTAGCTGACTTTTCTTAATGCGAATATTCCAAGCAAAGTTTACCGGCTGACATTTAAATGAAAAAATATAGAAATGCAGTAAAATAGATTATAAAATAACTAAACTGCATTCAACTGGCAAATGACATTTGTAAATGTCACTATGAGAGCAGCGTAGACTGTACCGTCACGTGTTCTTGCATTGTGACTAATCAACAACAGCGCAGCACTGACACTGGCTAACACGGGTCAAAACGTGCGATCAGAACCAGCGTGCATTTCCCGTTAACCCGAAGGAGGCGGCTGCCAAACAGAGCAGTTTGTTTATAGGATGCTTAGTCAGTCGGGACGTGTGTGAAATTTATCAGATTTTCAGAWYTCTATCGCTGTCACTTTACTTTCCCACTGCGTGTGTGTGTGTGTGTGTGTGTGAAAATTTACAGTATCTTGTCATCACGATCACAAGGGAAAATCTGTGTGAATTTATGGTTTACATTTAAAAGCTCCGGATCAACGAGAATGTTGTGACAGATGATTGATTGCAAAGTGGGTCTGACTTTTTACCATAAAGAAAACAACAGCAACAACAACAATGAACCTCTTTGTCCCTTTTAACACTTGTTGCTGTTTTATTTTTAATCARAAACTGGTATATTGAGTATCTAGTAAAATGGTCTACAAAAATCAAAAGGTTTACTACAATAAAGTATTATAGAACCAGGACCAGAGGTCATTATGAACACATTAAAGTAATCATTCTGTTTGCTAATCTTTCTATTTTATTGTCTCAAAAGCCTGAAATTAATTTCTTTATATTAATTAAGATTAATTTGACTGATGACTCTTAAAAAAGCCTTCAGGTTAATGAACTTTATTCCTTTAAATAATTCTAAACACATATACAAAACTGAAAAATATAGACTGTACAAAGCCAATCAAACTCCATACTTTAATCTACAAGCATCAGGGGTCGGATTTATAAAACTGGCGTACGCACAATTTGAGCCCAGAAACTTGCGTACGCCACTTTTTACGCCAAGGTTGTGATTTATAAAACCCAAACTTGAAGTGAAAATGTGCGGT